TGAGTTTATTCATAGAGGCCAAGTAAGTGTACGAGAGTTTGAGCATGCTAGATGTGAGCTAGTTATCTAATAAGGATGATTGAAGCAATATATATGTAGATGTATATGTATCTAGATGAATAGTAGTATTCAAACATTTGAAAGCCCTACCTTTATCACTGTGAGGGTGCTACTGCTTTTTGCACAATGTAAAGTCTCTCTTTTTACTCTTCTTTTGGACGGAAAGCAGGAACCAATCAAGAATTATACAAGCATAGGTGAAATTTTATACCTTTTGATATTTTAAAGAATTTGTTTACTGTACTACTTACAGAAAGTAAATGATCACTGCACATTTTGTTCTGAAGATTCTCCAAAAGAGAGAGAAAAGAATTCTGAGTGATCCATGATAAATCTTCCAGAGTTCTCTAGTTTGTAAAAGATTTGAAATGCATAAACCTCTATATTTTATTGTATAGGGTAAAGCAGAATCATGTACATGTAGCATTTACTCTTTCTGGTAGCTCACCTGTTTGATTATTGAATTCTGTAGCTCTGCTGATATATGGAGTGTTGCATGTACTATGATTGAAATGGCTACAGGAAAGCCTCCGTGGAGCCAGCAGTATCAGGAGGTACATACTTGTAGCTGCTTATAGACCCTCTTTGCTATGATGCTTCTCTTTTATCTGAGCAGAATGTGATGAATTCAGTTTGTTTTTTCAGTAGTTGGAAGACTAAGAAAAGATGCTTTTTTCCAGGTTGCTGCTCTTTTCCATATTGGGACAACTAAATCTCACCCACCTATCCCTGAACATCTATCCGTGGAGGCAAAAGACTTTTTATTAAAATGTTTACAGAAGTATAGTCCTGACCTAAATTTTTCTTGTCTTTTATGGTTTCAATGCACATACACTCCTTTCACCTAATTTTTCCTATTGGAAAGGTGATATATATATGTATATCTACGCTTATGTTGATGATAATGTCTTCGTCCTTATCCCTTTTATGCATCAATTTTTTGTATCAGAGAACCTGACTTAAGGCCATCTGCATCAGACTTACTGCAGGTGATTCTGAGTTCCAGACTGGTTCCTTCACAAAATATTTATAGAATACATTGCACTAGTTCTACAAACTTGCCTTCTCACTTATAATACGTACTTCTCCTAATTATGTGCAGCATCCATTTGTCACTGGAGAGCACCTGGAAGCTCATCCTGTGTTCTGTAATTCTACTATGGTTAGTTTGTTTGTAGTACGCATTCTTAGTTTGATTGCACTTTCATTTTAACATTTTCTTCTTTATCTATCAGGAACTTGGGAATTTGATTGCAACACCTGGGGTGAATCCTAGGAATTCGTAAGTTTTTCCAATATTGTGGGTTTTGAGCCTTTAATGATTTTCTAGTATCAACTTTTCTTTTTTAACATTTCATGATATTCCATTGTCAATTTTCTTTATCTCTGATACTAGAATTCTGCTGGTACTGCAGAATGAGTCCTGTGATCAGAAGATCATCCTGCATAGTGGGCAGTGTCAGGTGCTCCACCATATGTCCTGAGAATTTATCTCAAACTGGTACCTACTGGGGAGCAGAACATTACGACGATGACATGTGTCAGATAGATGATAAAGATGATTTTTGCAGTGCAGCGGTAAAGTTTCCCTCAGTCTTGGCATCTTCTGATTTGAATAAGGTAATTGATTCTTTGTAGTCCTTTTGCTGGTACAGTTTAGAATTGGGTTGATTTACAATCAATTAATATGTACTTTAAATCAGAGCTTCAACCCTGTGTGTGAACCCATGGATGATTGGCCTTGCAAGTTTGATGAGAGTCCAGAGGTGAAAAGTAATGGATTGAACTTATCTTCTCAATCATTACAAAGTAATGCTGAAAGCCCTGGAGTAACTTGTAAGGAAGAAAGTGATTTCACATTTCCCAGTGGTGTCTCAGCAGCTGAGGGTGATGATGAAGTAACAGAGTCCAAAATAAGAGCCTTTTTGGATGAAAAGGTACGATGTCTATCCAATATATATTTTTTAATCAATGAATATGAGATAACCATAACATTTATAATATCTTTTTGTTGGCTTCATTTCAACTTATGAGATTATATTTGATGGAAGTTTAATGTTTCAGTCGCATATTATGTCTATGCTAGGCTCTAGATCTAAAGAAACTACAAACACCTCTGTTTGAGGAGTTCTATAACACAGTGAACGCTGCTGGTCCTCCTAGCGCAATTGGAATTGCCAACAGTGAGAATTTATCAAATTTATGTCCTAAAAGCAGATTGCCGAATCGAGTACCTAGCAGAAGGCTTTCTGCAGCTATTGATGCTGTTGACTCTGCTGGTCATCTGAGTCATTACATGCGTGCATCAAATATAAATGGATTGCACGATAGAGCTCTACAGGAAATTCAGCCACCTCAGCATGGAGAGTGGAAAGAGCTTCTTCTTGGTGAGCAGCAGGCAATAATTCATCCCAGGTGTGTTAACTGGTGCCTCATGTTTGCTTTTATGTAGCACAAATTCTCATTTTTAACCGTATGAATGATGATATCATTGATTCTTCTGCAGCATGAACTTCTCTGAGAGGCAGAGGAAATGGAAAGAAGAGCTTGATGAAGAGCTTGAAAGGAAAAGAGGTAAGTTCCAATTTTAAGCACATGATTTCAGACACTTTGTGCTTGTGCAGTTTGAACTGGTCATAGTTCATGTCACCAGAATCTTGTGCTATTTAAGATTGCACGAAACTTTAAGAGAAAGTGTAACAATGAGGAAAAGTATTTTAGGAAGAGCTTTCAACTCTTTATCAACTTTTTGGCCTATACACACAGAAACTTCTATTTCAGCTCACTGAATGAATGTGCAAGTATAATGGTATGCATGCATGCAGGTATATGTATGCAAGTGTGTGTATGTGAAATGACATAAACTGAATGATTATGCGCTTTAGTTGGGCCTGTTCCTCAGACCTGAAGAGATGGGAAATCAGCTCTGTCATTTATTTTCTTATTTATGGTTTTCTTTCTATTAACATGATAATGAACTCATTAGTTTTATGGTGGGTATGACATTAAGAGTGACTATTGCAGAGATGTTGCGCCAAGCTGGTGTTGGAGGGAGGCCCTCATCTCCAAAGAATCAGATTCTGACTCGACACAGAGAGCGGTTAACGTTTGCATTCCCCGGGAAATAAACTGTATGTTCCTCTCTTCTGTATCAGTGCCTAATCGGAAAAAATATATTATGCTTTTCCATTGGGAGTGTTATGTATGTAGTCATAATTTATATGGTGCATAATAATTCATAGTGCGCATTCTTCCCTCTGCTCAAATGGCAGGGAGTGCAACCTCTCCACCCTTCTGTATTATGTCTTCGTGGTCCTATTAGGACATTTTATATAATGGTATCTATTTATGTTTTTTCTATTTTTTTTTTTTTTGAAGTTAGAAGTCCTTTTGAGTTTAAGTCGGTGCATGTTGTTGCGGGAGTTTAGACACATATAATATATAAAATATTTTTTGAAGTTGTCTTCAAAGCCTGAGTTATTATTGATGATACAAGTCAGTATATTGTTAACGAAAAGGAAGAATTCTTCCAACCCTGTTGATGTTTTATTTATTTACTGATCGTTAATTATTATTCTTTATCATGGAGGTTTGAATCATTTTTCTAGCAGTACCTTAACCTGTTAATCTTGTAGTTGGATATCAATGGTGTTTACACGTGTTTGCCAAAGCCTCCTTTTTGTTTTTGTTCTTACAAATTTATTTACCATGTCTAAACGACGGGCTGAGCATTTATATTTTCAAACCAGTTAGGCCTATGAAACAGAACCGATGTTTCTGATGAGTTCGATTAATTGGTTTGAACTGATACTTTTTCAGTTCCAACTAGGGTTTTAAATTGCTTTTTAGTTCTAAATTTTTAGAACTATAACTGATACAAAAATTAGTCAAGAAAGATACATTTATAGAATTTTAGAAACTATCACTTTAGAACAATTTATTTATTACCCCTCATAATGGATCCTTGGTGCTCTATTTCGATCACCTTCCATATACCACATTCTTAACATCATGTCCATAAATTGTGCCTCTAATTCTTTCTTCTGATTCTCATTTTGTTTATTAAAATGTAGTCTATCTAGCAAAACAACTAAGTTTCCTTAATACTGAAATTGTGTCTCTAATTTTATCCTATTTTCTTATCTCCACCGATCCTCTAGTCTTATCCCATCTAATCCCACAAGTGCAACGTCATTTGTCCTTCATCTAACATTAGTCATTCTATTCTATACAAATATTTGCTATTATGATCATCATCTCTCCACCACTTCATCCTTGCCTTTTGGCTAGTCACCTATTCCTTAATTCTAATCAACCTCCACAATTCACAACTTTTCTCTAAGATTACTCTAAACCCTATCTCAACTGACCTCCTTTCCATCTCCTCGATTGTTCCATCTAACTTCTCCTAAATGCTTTTAACTCTTATGTGTGGCTGACCCTACATTCCCCCTCCACTAAATATTTAAATCCGTTTTAAGCTTCTTCAATTTTTATATCAACCTACCGTTGAAAGTCCTATTTCGTACATCTTCTAGATATCACCAACTCAAATCCTTAACAATCTTCATTTTGATATAACATTAAATATTCTACAAGATTTAGGACTCTAATTTTCTAATTTACCTTAGATCTAGATCTACAGGACAATCATTTGTAATTAAAATAGCAATATTGTATTGTAAAAATTCGGAAACTTCACTAAGATGTTTTCACAAACTAAAAACTTATCCAGCCATCTACAGGACAATCATTTGTAATTAAAATAGCAATATTGTATTGTAAAAATTCGGAAACTTCACTAAGATGTTTTCACAAACTAAAAACTTATCCAGCCTACTCAAAGGATTATCTCTCCTATTACCCTAATTGAACTTCCTCTTTGCCATTGGTAAATATATCACATCCAATTTCATCACAAGATTTAACAAATCAAATTCAGCTGAAACATTGCTCTATACTCTAGATCTCTCATATGAATATAAGATAAAATTAAAGTTTCTATCTTATTATTATAGAACAGAGATTACTTATTTTAAATTCTCAAGATCCCCCAATGCTATACCTACTCTCAATTCTTGACAACCACCCATATATATTCACTAGCCCACCTAAAGTTGTCCTTAACTAATTTACCAAGAATCAACGGACATCTGTCCCTAACCTTGCCTTTACTCACTCGGATTCTATAGACTGAACCCCTAAGGCAAAAGTCCACTCAAAATCTCATCACTCCATATTTATCTGCATTCTCAAGTTTTGACTCATGTAACAACACCACCAACTCAAGATTCAACAATTTGGTTTCTTACCTCCGTTCTTTTCTTCTCTCTTTCTTGTCCCTCGTAATAAACATAGATAATTTCATGTTGGAGTATCAAAAATAAAAAGAAAGAAAGAATTAGAAATATCGATTTGAGATGAAGGAAGGTCATTAAGAAATATAAAACCAATATTATTCTCAAAGATATTCTCCAGAATAATTCTTAAGTAGACATCAAAATGTTTATATTACTAAATTTAGTTAATACACGTATTAATGACCAATACATTACTAAATTGGAGTGCTTATTGGCACTCTACTTTTGTTATTAAGTTAAATAACCTTAACTATTTTTTCATGAATCATAAGTTTACTAATCCCGAGATAAATACTAGGCACTTTTTTTTTTTTTTTTTTTTTCTATTTATTGAAATACATAATTAACATAATTATATCTAATATAGTTATTCGATTTTATTATTTTTGAAAAATCATTATTATATAAATAAACTGAAATATTATATACATTTATTTCATATTTTCTTTGATGATGATATTCGTCCTTGAAGAAAATCTACCACTTTATAGGATTCTTATTGATAATAACGACGACAAAGAATTTTTAATTAAAATAAAAGTCTTACTAAAATATTATTACCAACTTTTTTCTTGTCAATTGAAAATAAGTACTTCAGAGGGATCATTTTTTAGGAATTATAGCTTACCGTTGAGAGAAGTAATATGTTCATGTAGAATAGAAACAACTTGTCTAACTTGCTTCATCTTTAAAGCTTACTTCTTCACAAATTCATATAGAATACATAACATTAGGCAAGCGAATTACACTTTTTAAGGATTTAATTCTTTCCTATGTTTAAGTGAAAAATAGGGATACAATTTGTTTATATATATATATATATTATAAAAGCCCAAACCTCTATTAGAAATTTCGAACATATAGCTCAGTAATAATAATATAAATAATACTGAAAATTTTTATTTAGTAGAAGAATTTAAAGTTTAAAGGTTACATTGCTTGTATGTTTATTTAAAACGTCCAAATAGGGGATATGAGAATAGTTTGGAACTTAAATGGGAAAAATATTAACAATAACTATGATTAACCTCTACTCAAAATTGATGAAGCGGAAGAGATAATTGTTTAGTTGATCTCTTACTGTTCGTGATCTGGGTCTTGATCGTCTTGATTTGAAATGGTTAATAAGAAAGGGAATGAGTTACACCAACTCAGTAATAATATCAACGTCTTACCACTGATATGGAAAATCAAAGAGTTGTAGAAAATATAAAACAACCAATGGAGCATATTTTTAATAAAACTCGAATACTAGTGCATTCGTTACTCGTTAATTGAAAATGTTAGTATTTTTTCCCTTAATTTGTAACTTTTCAAACACCATACATTAAGATAAAAT